ATACATATATACATGCAAACATACGAGCTATGGCTCTGCATAACACATGCATATACATAATAACAAGAATTTATTGTGGAACAAGCATAACTGCACAAGTACATACGCAACCACAAGAGTGTGCTTTGCAGATAACGCGATGCTACGCATTTTGCTCATCTTCGATACTACTTTCCATCAAATTGAAACATGAGCAGGAACTATACGGCTACACTATATAACTATATGTAATAGGAAATAGGAAATAGGTAATAGGTACTTATGCAATCATGTAATATGTGATATGTGATATGTAATTATGAAATATGTAATATGCAATATATAGTCTGAAACTAATCAATATGTAATATGTAATGCCTTGAATGTACACACGCAACTCACTTCCCACCACAACCTCATTCTCCAAGGAACACATCACTGAACTACATGCAACATTGGCTATTTATAAACATCTTGTTTAAAATGCAATAGAACATTATAGCAACGAGGGTAACTACACTGCTACACTATACAACTATATTAAACGCCTTGTCTAATAAGCAAGGGAGCACCATAGCAACGAGGGTAACTACACTGCTGCACTATACAACTATATTAAACACCTTGTCTAAAAAGCAATAGAACACCATAGCAACGAGGGTAACTACACTGCTACACTATACAACTATATCAAACACCTTGTCTAAAAAGCAAGAGAACACATCCTCAAAAATAATGAAGATGTTGGGAACTCCAATTGCTGAAACTGAACAGCTGATTAACGCCCGCCCATACAGACTGGCGAGGACGCGCTCGTATTGTCAACTCATTGAGGGACGCATACCGTTGGCTAAGCCACTTTGATAAACACATCAACGACAGCATTCTATTGGCCAAGGCACTTTTATCAACACATTAAAGAGAGCACACGATTGGCTAAGCCACACACCTTCGTCCATGGCCTGGTTCATTTTGTCCTTGTCCTCGTTGTCGGGGCTGTCCTCAGCTTCAGGCGTGTCTGCTGTGTGTATGCATGCGTGTGTCCAGAGACAGATGTGCGTTAGTGCATGTGTCTGTGTACGTATCCACAAATGTACGCGCGAGTTCGTGCGAGCAAGGATGTGCGTGTATGTGCGTGTACGTGTATGTGCGTGTACACATGCATGTATAGAGACATATGTGCGGTACTCCATATGTCCATGTGTGTATGAACGGTGCACGTACGTATACGTATACGTATACGTGATCAATGATGTTCGTGTCAATGTGTATGTATGTGCGTCCATAGGTATGCATTTTTTCAGCCTTTTACTGACATACACATAGAATCTATATATGTACATATATATAATTAATAAAAAGTACATCACATAACCATATACTCACATACATAATATAATCTATATATGTACATTTCTACAATCCAATCAATAAAAAGTACATCACATAGCCATATACTCACATACATAATATAATCTATATATGTACATTTCTACAATCCAATCAATAAGAAGTACATCACGTAGCAATGTACTCACTTCCTTATAGAACATGTATATATATATATATATATATATAAATATAATCCAATCAATCGGAAGTACATCACATAGCCTTTTGCGAATTTACATATAGAATCGATATATGAACATGTATATTCGTATGTTGGCATAGCTAAAAGCCCACAGATTGCATACGCTCTACATATATACTTACACACTACATATGATATCCACATATACATACATACTACATACCTGCCAAGCTGCGTATCGCACTGGCATTTACTCACCTTCAGAACATACAGACTATATACAATATCTACATATACATATATACGTATACAGACATGCCTATTTTTGTAATTCACTAGCATGTACTCTCCTTTAGACATATACATACTACATGTAAAA